CGATGTTCAGATGAGGGCTTAGGTTCGATAACTCAAGAGAAAACAAAAGTTCGGGTTCTCACTACCCTATTCACGAGACCAATCGGGGTACAGACAAAGACTCGTTATTTAGCTCTGCAATGTATCCAGCCTCCGGGTGTGAGCCTGGTTAGTTTATTATGTCCTGGTTCAAAAACCTGTTCATTATGTTTAATTATGAATTAGAACATACACATTTCTGTTTAATTATGTAATATCTCTTTGGTGGAGCTTGAGCGCCGGTCTTCTCTGATCATCTTTGATCTGAACATCAACATCGTTGTTATTCAATTAACAGATTGAACCCCGGCGATACAGCAGGACACCACAAGGTGGCGTCTTGCACCCAAAGCGCGAGAGCACTTCGCCTTAAGCCCCTCCTACCCCCCCTCCCTGTTGCGCAGGCGCATAAACCTCTCCTTTAGAGCGAGAGCGGAAGTTGCTCGAGCTTGGCCTTCCGGACAGACTCTCGGATTTACGAAAATGGCGAAGATCGCCAAAACACACGAAGGTAAGGAGAATAAGAGGAAATCCTCAAAGTAAATCGCTGTAAATCGTTCATATGGATGGGTTAAGATCCTAATGCACCCTGCGAAAGCAGAGTCGGGTTATGTGTAGCAGGTTTAGGTGTTTTTTTTTTGTCGAGTGTGAGGGGAGCCGGCCGCGCAGTGTGATCGGTCTGTGAACCGAGAGAGAGATAATGGCGCCCGCAGACTCGCCTCCGCAGGGAGTTTATGATTTCTAACGACGCTGTTTTTTAACCTGTCCAAAACGAAAACCTGCGTAATTTTAGACTAGATATCCGTAGCTGCACGCGAATGTATAAAGAGTTGATTGGGAACTGCGTGATGCGCGTTCTCGGTAGGTAGCCCTACGATTCCGAAATGCGCATTGAGGCGCCCGTCGGACATGTGGCATCGTTTCGTAAGACAGAAAGAACAGCAGATGCTCAGGCGAGCTCATCCGTTTCGGCCGTCTTTTAACGGAGGGCATTCGTGTAATCGCCCCTCGAGAGGCGTGGGGGTTGTTTGTTGGCATCAGACGCGCGGTGCAGCGAGCGCCGGCTGAATAAAAATGGCGTGTTAGTGTTTACGCCAGCCAGGGCCACTCAGCTGTGCACAAGCTGCGACCAAAGTCATGCTCATGCGGGCTCGCCTCTCGGGTGCATTTGTGAATGGAACTAAATTTGCCCGTGAAGTATCTTAATTGTCGATGGCCCCAGGGGGGGCAACATGTCGTTCATTTCAACAACGAGGCTGGTCTAGGCTGCTAGTTTGAAACTTTCCAAGTCCTCGGTCCCTGACGCAGCGTTGCCAGAGCTAACAGTCCGGCTCTCGGGTTAAATTCACCCGATTCCCTGAACCGCCGCCCCCCCCTTCGAAATAGCTGGCGTGAAACAGGCTGCGGTCTGGTATCCGGTTCAGATGGGAATCGGGTGGTTTTGCACCGCGGTCTCCGCGCAGGTGCGGGCAGGAGTAGCCAGCGCTGGGCCTGGAGAGCCACAGTCCAGCCGGTCCTACGAATCGCGCTTAAACTCGAGGCAGAGCTAGCCCAGCTCCGCGGGAAGCCTCCCTTACCTTGTCTTGTTAATTGCTGATGCTATGCTAAGAGCTTGTACCGTTACATCTGTATTGGGGAAGTCTTGACCCTGGAGCGTCTCCTGTTCTTCCTGGGCAGTGACCTCCTTCTGTACTGCACGCCACTAGACGCTTAAACACCACTGTGATCTTCCACCTTGAGCCCCTTCAGTGGCATGTGCAAAGGTCTTTTCTGTCAGAAGGCCTTGGTCGTGTAAATTTATTTTTTGTAAATGTTATTGAGAACATGGTAGCAAGCATGAAGTACAAAACAGGCGTTGCGTATGTTGTCCTACAAGTGTCAGTGGGTGTTACGACTTGATATCCGCTCTCGGTGTGTTCTGAAATCTGCGCTTCAATGACCATTCTTTATTCCCGATGCACATTCAAGGCTCAGTTGTTAAGGTGCGATTGTTGGGATCAGAGCCTTTGCTGGGGTGTGATGTGCTGAGAGATTGAAATGTGAAGCGAAGTCTCTTTGCTCAGCGCCCTGTTGGTGTGGTGGCACTGTGATGTTGTGGGAGGGACATTAGTGCCTCGTGATTTGGGATTTGATTCTGAGATGGGGGCACCCATCTGTGTGGAGTTCACATATTTTGCCTTGTGTGCATGGGTTTTTGCTAAAAAAGTTTGATTTTTTTTTTGAGGGGAGGGAGGGGTCAGGATGGGATGTTTCTGTTGTTCTGTTGCTGGGGGGGGCAATGGCCAAGTGGCCTCCCCTCATCGGTGCTCTTTCTGATGACCCGGTTCTTCCTCTCTGCTTTCACAACTCTCCCTCACTCTCCCCCCCCCCACCCCTGCCTGCCTGCCTCAGACATCGAGGCGCAGATCCTGGAGATCCAGGGCATGAAGGCGGCCCTGCTGGAGGAGGGCGAGAGGGGCGTGGGCCTGGACTCCACTGGCTACTACGACCAGGAAATCTACGGCGGCAGCGACAGTCGCTTCACTGGCTACGTCACCTCCATCGCCGCCAACGAGCACGAGGATGTGAGTTGTTTTTTTTTTAAATAGGGAACCCGGCGTTTATTATTGTGGGGAGAAATGGCGATCGTGACTTTCTGCTTCGCGAGGCTAACTCGCGATGCGTGAATGAAGGGCCGGTGCACGATCTTTAACAGTTCAAGTCGTCCAAGGTCTGATGCTCCTCCCTATCCGTTCAGTTGTGTGTGCTTTCCCAGGATCTCTTTATGTTTTCAGGTATTTTGACGGTCATCGGTTACAAGTCCGATGCCTTTTTTTTTTAGAACAGCAAGACGCAAAGTGCCCTGTGATTTGTGTGTAGCGTGGCCCTGCAGTGTTTCTGCAGACTCTCTCGTGTTTCCGTGTAAGATTTGTGAAAGTGTACATACCCGTTGGGTTTAATTCAAGCAGGGAGCTGCGTAGGCTGCAAACAAACAAGGACAAGTTTATTCCATGCTGAAGAGAGAAGAAAAGAAACTGGACCATCCTTCTTTATCACCCGAAGAAGGCCTTCACCGCCGTTTCTTCTCCCCTTTCCAGCGTGGAAGAAACCTTTCCTTGTTCCTTTGCGTACCTGTTTGATGTTTAAGTCGGCGCTGGAGGTGGTGTCATGTCTCCTCTCGAGGCGGGCTGCCGCAGAGCCGGACTGATGAGGTTGTTGCTTTTTCTGTGTTGGTCGCAGGATGACGAGGAAGACTCCTCCACCAGCCTGCTGGGACAGAAGAAGCCGGGGTACCATGCTCCCGTGGCCCTGCTCAACGACATCCCCCAGTCTGCAGAACAGGTCCGTACCTCCGGTGGCTCGCTGTCACCCCCCGTTTTATTTAGCTTTTTGTTTTTAATAACGGTAATATACTTATTCTGCGCACTACTCAAAGCGCCACCAGTGTGTAGCCCCACCTGGATGATGCTCCAGTACTCTCCCCACACACCAGCTCTCAGTGGGGAGGAGAGCAGAGTGATGGAGCCAGTTCAGAGAGGCGGATTATGAGGAGGCCATGATTGGTAAAGGCCTGGGGTAAATTTGGCCAGGATGGCAGAGTAACACCCTGGGGTTTTTCGTGACCGCAGAGACTCAGGACCTGGGTTACATGTCCCATTTTAAGGCTGGTGCCTTTTTACAGTATAGTGTCCCTGTGACTATACTGGAGTATTAGGACCCACACAGATCTCAGGGTGAGGGCCCCCTGCTGGCCCCACTAACGCCTCTTCCAGGAGGTCTCCCATCCAGGTCCTGACCTGGCTCGCACGTAGTGAGCTTCAGCGGGGAGCCAGCTGTGGGCTGGAGGGTGATGCAGATGTTCTGTTTATGTTGCTTTCTCCTGCTCCTCGTGCCTCGGGGGGTGTCTTGCTGCGTGTTCTCCCAGTGACCGCCTCTCCCTTTGCCCCCCAGTATGACCCCTTTGCGGAGCACAGGCCCCAGAAGATCGCCGAGAGGGAGGACGAGTATAAAGCTCGCCGCCGCCAGATGATCATTTCTCCCGAGCGGCTCGACCCCTTCGCAGACGGTAAATTCCATGCCTCGCCGCCATCCCGCTCCCCTCAGGTCCCCTTGCCCCTTCCCAGTCCTCCCATGTCAGGGATAAACACGCCAGTCCAGCCTGCTTGGGCTTTAGCCCTTCGAGCACCACCCTGCAGCCCAACTTGCCGGACAAAAGATTTCTCCTTGCAAATCCTGTGACGCTGCCCCACAAATCCGCGGCAAGGCATTCTGGTAATTCTGCCTTGTTGGGTACGGCCTTTCTCGGGGGCTCTGTGGTGCAGCCTGCGCTGTGCTCTCTCTTAATCCGGCCTGCCCCGAGGTCCTGAGACGATGAACAAGGGCCACTTGGCCACAGCAGTTGAAATGGGTTTGAGAGGCAGACAATCGAGCGTTCATACCAACGCCATGTGATTTGGGTTGCCATGGAGTGTGTTTCGAAGGGTTAATGGCCTTTTTCTGGTGTGCAAAATGTGCCACAAAGTAAAGATTTTCTAGGTCTTTTTTTTTTTGTTTTAAAAGCTGTGTACCTTTAAATTGTAACGTTGGTAATGAAGTGGGTTTGTGAATCGCCCAAGGTTTCTGCAGTCACCTTCAGGGAATAATTTACCCACCTTTGCAGCATGCAGCTCCACCCCCCCTGTGCTGTGGTGATGCCCCCTGCCTAGTCTGGGCTCCCCAGCGATTAAAAGCATGTTCAGGCCTAGTTGTCCCTGCAGAAATTTGCTGGCGCCGCTGTGGGTATTTGGCACTATATTGCCCACTGCCCAGATCAGTATGTGTGCAGCAGCTGGGTTATTTCAGTGTGAGCCTTCCAACTATTTTGATTTGGAAAGTTGGTGGCGAGATCCACCTTTTCTTCCTGGTCTTGGTCGAGGTCTGCGGCGTTCGCTGCAAGGGGGGTCAGTATGGTACATTACTCCCGGTTGGCTCCAGACTCTTTGGGACGAGGGGGAGGGAGTGAAAACGGCAGCAGGTGGAAGCACAGAAATGTAGCGCAGCACAGATCTGACACTAGACTTACTTCAGACACACAGACTGGAGTCAGGTGGTGCAGGGTGATATGACAGGAGTTCTACTAATAACCCCTAATGAAGTTCTGATTTACTTTAAGGCAGATGACAAGAACAGTTAAGACTTTGACACGCATCTGGTTTAAAAACTTGTAGCAGGCCAAGTCTGCCATCAGCAATGTGCTCTTTTTTTCCACTTAAGGTGAGAGGATTGTGAGTATTCAGAGTGATATAGTGTCCTGGGAAATGCTAGCTTTTTAGATTTCGTCTGAAGCTGTCCATATGGATTGGTATAGTTCAGAACAGTGCAGTTTTTCTCGGTTTAATAAGACTGGGATGGAACCTGCTTGCTCAGGAATCTGAAAGCCAAGACTTGGTTGACAGACCTGGTGCAGAGTTCTAAGCCAGTAAGTAGTGTGTTACCGTAACTGCAGGATACATAAACTGTCAAAACGTTGGCAGAGAGCAAAGTAGCTGCATTACACAGATGAATGAAGTGTTTGCATAGTCAGTTTGTCCCAGTGTCCCATTCAGTCAGTCAATAAAGATAGTCTTAGTGGAGACAGAGTTCTCACCATGTTGCACAGAGCTATTCACCCAGCTGTGACTGAGGCCTTGGGAGATCTCTTGCTGCAGACATCTTCGGGGTATCTCACATGTTTTACCTTACATCAGTAGCACAAATGGCACCACTACAGAGTAAAGGGAGCCTCAAACTTAGGATTGAAGGAAGTGAGAGGTGTACAGGTTCACGATGTGGGGTTTCCAGTCCACTTTTGTGTCTGGGTATAGCCTTCAGACTGCTGCAGAACTGCACGGCTCCTGTTTCCAGACCTTTGCATGCAGCTTGCATTTCTAAGCTGTCTGTTAAGCACACTTCAGCCCCTTTCACACTGAGTAGCAGACTCTGCTTGGGCCAGACTCAGCCCCGGGTTGAGACGTGGTGTCATGTGGTTCAGTTAGGCCGCTCTCAACTTAAAGGTCAATCAAGGAGGATCAGCCTATTGGAACAGTTTTTTTTAACCTTAGACTCTCACATTGATGTCTTCAAACTGAATTGCTACCCCAGGTGTTAAAAGTGGGGCTCTGAAGGAATTATACATCACTGTGCTTTGTGATAAACATTGTACACAGAAGGATTTAGAAGTTTATATAAAAGCCCATTGGTATATTGCCACAGAAGTGCAACTGAGAACCATGCATTCTCTGATAAGGGCACACCAGTGTAATGTGAGCAAGAGAGGTTTAATCTAACATTTCTAGAATTATAGGTTTTCTAGCTCAAATATAATTTTCTTTTTAGTTTTTCATTTGTGTTGTTTGGTGTCATGTCTTTTAAAAGAGAATTCTGGGGGGGGATGCCTACCAACTGTGTGGAGCTTGCTGTTGTAGAAAACGCAGTGAATGGAGAGGGGAGCGACAGAAAGTGACATTTCAGCTAGGGTGTATAACACAGTCGCACCTGTTGGTGTCAGGCTTTGTAAAATAAATTCAAAATCATAAATAGCGAACGGGGAAAGCAGGTTTTAACTGTGAGCCTGCCGCCATCCTGCTTGCTGAGGTGGGTTGCTGATGAGCCGGGTCAGCTCTTTTCCAAACCGGGTCAGGGTGACCCAGACAGCTAGAACCATGCTGTGACCTGGGTCCGGTTGCCAGTGTGAAAAGGGCTTAAGAGGTGTGGTAGCATATGAGTGCCTCCACTGTAGTTATAATTACTGTACAAATAGTTTGAATGGGTGGTGTTTCAGCAATCTTGTATAGTACGTACTGTACGAAAATTCAGCAGCCCTTCTGTTGTAATGGCCTATAGCTTATGCTAGAGCCATCATTTCTAACTTTTAATGAGACTAAGTAACATCAGAAGTTTGTGCATTCCTCTTTAACACAGTGGAGGTATTTTCATTTTTTTATTCAAGAAACAGCCAGTCTATTCATGTTCTCCTGCAGCCTAAAGGCTACAGTTCTAGATCAGTAAACAGCAGCAGGAGGGGGTAGCTGCTTTTTAACTTTGGGGTAGGGTTAAATTACTAAGCCTGCATGTAGCTTATAATGGACTTCTGTCTTTGTCATACAAGCAAAAAAACTGTTGTGTAAAGAAATTATAAAACTGTGTACTACAATTCCACAGGCCCATACTAACTGTCCTTAATTTCTCTCCTACAGCAGTACTGCTATGCCAGTCCTGTCTGCATTCTTATGAGTGCAGCGCAACACATCCTGTGTAGGTTATGGTGAACACAAAAAGATTTTGCCCCCAAGGGAGTGTTCTTAGTTTGTCAGGGCCCGTGGGCTCACTGACTTGGCATGACAGGGGATCCTATACCTCCTTAGCCACAACTTCTCTGTATTCTCCTACAACTACCAAGGTTAACATGGTCCATCATGGTGGGGCGATAGTGTGTATATACTCATTCAGCAGACGCAGATAAGTCCCTTCAGCTGTTTGATCATAAAAATGGTAATAGTTCATCTCTTTTAAATTTCAAGAGTGTTTAAGGGTTTAAAAAAACTTCAAAGACCTAATGTTAGCTTAACTTTTTTGCAACCTTTTTATTACCTTTTGTTAGTAATTGGTGATGTATGGCATCCTGTGTGAACCACTTAAGGACAAGTCTGGGACTCATATTTTTCCAACATTAAACTCGGGATCTAAAAAGCCCGAATTTCACCCTGGAGGATGTGAAGTGAATAGTTTGCTGGCAGGATAAATGAAGAACCCGTTTTCTGCCGCCTCACAAAGGTGGATAAAATTGGAGTGAGCTCTTGTCTAGCACTTCGGCTGCGCAGTAGCTGAGCTTGTCGTACTCGGTACAGTCTCAGCAATGGAGTTTGAGAAAAGGGGAGATCTCTCGGTCTGCTGGCAGGCTATTCCAGAGAGGCGGCTGTGTTTCTGCACATCTGTGGCTGACATGCAGCGCCACACAGCGCTGTCTCTGCGTATTTTGTCATTCCAGCCTTTTGACACCCGACCGTTTCTCTTGCTTCGCTTATGGATGGAAAAGTTTTTTTTTTTCTTCAGGCTCCATTGGTGTAAAAGGAGAGTTGTCCCTCGAGCAGCAGATGTTGGTCTGCTCTGGTCACAGTGGTTCACACAGGGTGCTTTCCGTCTCCTCTCGCACCCCTGCCGTCCCACTTTTTGGCTGTTAGGGCAGGTCCTTTAAAGACCAGCCTCTGGCTTTTCAGGGCCGTAGGTTTCCTAAGGTTGTCAGATGGATAACTGTAACCTTCAGTTTGTCTGCTCTGACTTTTCCATATTCAAACCCATCTCCTTTACTTGGGACCGATTTTTAGCATTTGTCTTTGCACGATTCGTCATTTTCAGACAATCGGACAACTTATAAGCATGAGCCGTAATTTTTGTGTCCTTCTCCACAAAAGAAAAAAAGGCCCGGAGTGCAGTTTGAGTATAGCTGTAGCTAGATTGGAATATGGAAACAAAAATGGAATTTCAGTTTCTCATTAGATTTTGAATTTGAAGCTAGGCTAAAATAAATTAGATATGGTTGTGGTTAAGTGCAAGGAGGGTTTAAAATTGTTTCAAAAGTTACATAACAGGTGGTATGCTGTGTGTTTGAGTTCAAACCCTTTCCAAAGTGTTACTAATGGTAAAGAGATAAATTTTCTAGGCTTCTTTTCTGCCGGTTGAAGTCTGACACTGCAGAAGGACCCTGGCACAGAAAGTGTACGTATTCTGGAGAGCACAGCCCAGGACCCCCAGCTTCAGTGATGGCTATATCCTCTCCTTATCTCCTCTTATAATTGTCAGCATTTTTGTTGTATCTGCAATATGTTATGACAAGTCTTATGCCTTTAAAATGTTTGTATTTATGTATTTAGGTCCTTGATATGCAATATTATTTAAAAAGCTAATCCGCTTTGTTTGCAAAAGTAATTTTTTTTAAAAAAAAGTAAAAATGGACTGCTGAAAAGTTAGGTTAGCAGCTGATTATTCTTGTGAATACTCATGCTCGTGTGTGTTGTGCATTTTAGTGGCATTACAGGTCCTGTCTCCCTCACCTCTTTGTGTCCTGTTGCTGCTCTTTTCACCCACAGGAGGCAAAACGCCCGACCCCAAGCTGCAGGCGCGAACCTACATGGACGTCATGAGAGAGCAGCACCTCACGAAGGAGGAGGTAGGCGGCCCCTTCTGCGCCTGTGGGCCAGGTGGGGTGGGAGGCCATTGTGCAATCCCACGCTGCCCAAGCCTGGCCAGCACAACTCCACTTGACATTCCCAACACACCGCTATTAATACCCTCAGTCTGGGACTTTGGGGATTGAATTCCGAACGCGGCAATTCAGATTCACTTTATATAGAAGTCTACTTTATATGAGTCTTTTGTCTTGGTCATATTTTTGATAAGTAAATGAAATTGTAGGAGACAACATTAGAAAGATAAGCCAACGACGGCAATCTGTTCTTACACTTATAAGCGAGGCATGGCGGGCTTTCGTGAGCAGGGCTTGCTCTTGAGCTGTGTGCTCTGCGTTCCTGTGCCCGCTGTAGAAAGAGATCCGCCAGCAGCTGGCAGAGAAAGCCAAGTCGGGGGACCTGAAAGCCGTGAACGGCTCTGCGGCGTCTCAGGCTGCCGCCAAGCGCAAGCGCCGCTGGGATCAGACGGCTGACCAGACGCCCGGCAGCGCCAGCACCACGCCGAAGAAGGCCTCCAGCTGGGACCAAGCGGACACCGCTTCTGAGGTACGCACGGGCGCTGGGGGACGGGCGCCGGTCTCTCTCCAGAGCGCGCGCCTGATGCCAGGGCCGAGTGAGAGATCACAGTCAAGCCAGAATAAATCTTTGTAGCAGAATGACGCAGGGATAGCAAGACTGGCTGAAGGGGTACTCGGGTGAAATAGGGTGGCTTTTGCAGATTGACAGATGTGGTGAATTATGTTTTCAGATTAGTGCGTGATTAAAGGCTCTTTGTGGTGGTTGTCACATCTGTAGGGAGCTTGTGTGGAAGTCTGTATGTTGGACAAGAGTGTGGCTTGTCCAGAGGTGACGGAGCTGTCTCTTTCTGTCCCAGACTCCAGGGCACACTCCGTCTCAGAGCCGCTGGGACGAGACCCCCGGCCGGGCCCGGGGCAGCGAGACTCCTGGCGCCACGCCCAGCACGCGCATGTGGGAGCCCACGCCAAGCCACACGCCCGCGGGAGCCGCCACGCCGGGCCGCGGAGACACGCCAGGGCACGCCACGCCGGGCCACGGAGGGGCCTCCTCTAGCGTGCGCAAAAACCGCTGGGATGAGACGCCGAAGACCGAGAGAGGTCAGCGCTCGGGGGGGGACTTAACGTCTAGCAGCTGAAAGTGTGACTTTCAGAAGTGTTCTTTTGATAGAATTGCTCTTCTGTAGTGTGAAGCTCTGTGTTGACTCTGGAGTAAGCTATTGTCTCAATGCATGCTGTTTTAGCTAACATTACCTTCAGTTCAGCGGGACGTAGGTTCAGTCTGGTCACTGCTATTACTCTTTGCTGTATTAGGCACATTGTTTGCAAAGTGCTCATTGAGTTGTCGCTAGTCTTTGCGGTTCTTATTCTATTATATTCTGATTTTAGATCCGTCGTTTCTAACTTTTAATGAGACCGAGTAACATTAGAAGCACCGCGTGCATTCCTGCTGCATGACCTCCGGACTCCTCCCCCTTCTCCCTCTCATTTCGGTCTCGGAACACTGTTAGCTGCTGTGCCGCTCTTCCTACAGTATCCCTTTATTCTCTCCGGCGCAGAGACCCCGGGCCACGGCAGCGGCTGGGCTGAGACCCCCCGCACCGACCGAGGGGGCGACTCCGTGGGGGAGACGCCAACCCCGGGGGCCAGCAAGAGGAAGTCGCGCTGGGATGAGACGCCTGCCAGCCAAATGGGCTCCTCCACGCCCCTGCTCACCCCGGGAAAGACCCCCATTGGGACGCCTGCCATGAACATGGCCACCCCTACACCAGGTAGGCCGCCTGAGCCCCGAACCCCTTCTGTGCCTGTGCATGGAGCCTGTGCCTGTGCCTGTGCATGGAGCCGTTGTACCACTTCTCAAAAGCTTGTAGCATCAAAAATTAGATTTAGCTTTGAATGACAAAGATTTTTAAACATAAAATATCCAATGTAGTGATTTTCGTAATGTCTCCAGCACCCAGTTAGGCTGATCGCTTGAATCCTGTGAATGTACTTTTCTGAAGTTTTTTAAACCCTTACCCTCGGCCACGGTTTTCTGCCTGTGATTATTCAAAGCCCCGATTGGCCGAAAAAAAAAATCGATTTGCCAGCCTTTTAGGCTGCACGGAAGTCCGTAGTGCTCGGTCACTGTGTGCTGCTGTTTGAGCTGCTTGCCTGCCCTGCCACAGGTCACTTGATGAGCATGACGCCGGAACAGCTGCAGGCTTGGCGCTGGGAGAGGGAGATCGACGAGAGGAACAGGCCCCTCACGGACGAGGAGCTGGACGCCATGTTCCCAGAGGGCTACAAGGTACATCTTAGTCTGCACAGCTCGGAGAGGCAACCCTTCACCTTTACAGGGTGTTTCTGATGGGTAGGAACAAGGAAAGGTTTGCTCCATGCTGAAAAGAAGAGAGACAACATTTCCGCTGTGGACCTAAAGGCTACACCTGAAAAAGGCTCCACAGCTGAAACGTTGTCTCTTCTTTTCAACATGGAATAAACATTTACTTGTTCCTTTGTAGCTTGAGACATAAGTAAAGGCAGCTACCTACTTGATAGATACGTGTTTGATAGTTCTTATGGGTAGTTCAGTACTTAAATGAGCACTTAAATCGGAATGAGCTGCCATGACTTTTTTTTAGTTTTCTTTTTAAACCTTTCCCATTCCATTAAACAAACGTGGAACCATCCCGTTCGGCAGATTGCAAACTTTAGTCGCACGGCCTTTGCCTGTTGACCATTCCTCTCCCACGGGAAGTCTACGTGAAGGGCGTTTTTTTTAAATAGTTTCTCTCCTCCCCTTGGCCAGGTGCTGCCCCCCCCGGCGGGGTACGTCCCGATCCGAACGCCAGCCCGCAAGCTGACCGCCACGCCCACGCCCATCGGGGGCATGACGGGCTTCCACATGCAGACCGAGGACCGCAGCATGAAGGCGGTCAACGACCAGCCGTCCGGAAACCTGCCCTTCCTCAAGCCCGACGACATCCAGTACTTCGACAAGCTGCTGGTGAGCAGGGCGGTGGGGATTATGGGATCATGGATTTCTCAGAATGGGGATGTGGGATAGGATAAAGATGATAAATTGGGGAAAGCTCAGTAGTGTCTGGTTTTCAGAGGGCTGCAGTGTTCAGAAGTGCTTGTGAAGGCTGCCGGTATTTGCATTAACCAGCTAAGCTTGCAAAAGATAAATGATCTGATATGAGATGAAGACGGGTGACCAGTGACTGGTGAAAATGATTTTAAATTATTCCCGTGGAACGGGAGAGAAAGGGTTTCTATGGTGCTGGCAGTAAGAGCCACGAGGTGACTGACTGTCTCTTCTGTATTTCAGGTGGAGGTAGATGAGTCAACTCTAAGCCCCGAGGAGCAGAAAGAGCGAAAGATCATGAAGCTCTTGCTGAAGATCAAAAATGGCACCCCTCCCATGAGAAAGGTAAGTGTTTCCCTGTGTTCATCCCACACACTACGCCCCTCTCCATGTAGCGCTTTTTTTGCTTGGCTTTTGCCAAATGTCACTTCATGTCTGTTCTAAATGTGTTTCTGTCTCTCCATAGGCAGCGCTACGTCAGATCACAGACAAGGCACGGGAGTTTGGCGCTGGGCCTCTGTTCAATCAGATCCTGCCTTTGCTCATGTCCCCTACACTGGAGGACCAGGAGCGCCACCTGCTGGTTAAGGTCATTGACAGAATCCTATACAAGCTGGATGACCTGGTCAGACCTTATGTGCACAAGGTTAGTCTGAGCTGTGCGGGTGAGTTCTGGCAAGCAAGCCTAGTAGCTTCTGCCAGGTTTTCCTATTTTGATTTCCTCAACTCTGTGCTCCAAATGAAATGTTATTTTGAATGTGATCAACTAGATGAAGTTCAATCGGTGTTTCTTTATTAGTAATTCTGTAACGTTTTGTTCAAACGTGCTGTTTTGAAAGGCGATATCACCTTAACGTTCCGTAGAACAAAAAATCGAGGTTAAATGTTTTTCTTCTAAAAAAAAATCTTGACTGCTTGGCAGAGCACGTGCTGTGATGCTGTGTGTGACGTGATGCTTTTTGCTGTCTTAGATCCTGGTGGTGATTGAGCCCTTGCTGATTGATGAAGATTACTATGCCAGAGTGGAGGGCAGGGAAATCATCTCCAACTTGGCGAAGGTGAGTGTCCCTGCTGCTGCAGTCTAGGGGTGTTGATCCCACTGTGGTGTGGAACATCGTTTTTTAAAAACATTTAACTTTTTCTTGGTATGAGGTGCTGAGGGAGAAAATGGTGGCTCAACGCCATCAAAACGGACACTGGCTTAGGCATCGAACATCTGAAAGGGAAAGTCCAAGACCAGAAAGCGTGGCGATATATATATATAGAATCGCCGAGAGTCGGATCCGACTGACCGGATAACATCATCATCAGTTGTTCCTAATTTTTGTGCCTTGGGATATACACTGGAGTCCTATGGAATAAGGGTGAATTAAAATGGCCTGTGTGGAGTATATAGCATTTTCTGGTTGCTGCTTTTCAGTCCATCCACTGGTACACGGAAAACAAGAATTGTTAGTTTGACTGAAGGGGCCAGACTGCCACCATTTCCAGAGGATAGTGACTATATGCTAGTGCTATGCTAAAAGCCATGGAGTCTTTTATTTTATTATTTTTTTTACAAGTGTTCAAAAAGTGAGGAGGCTCTGTTCTTGTCTGCCCCCTGCAGGCAGCTGGGCTGGCGACGATGATCTCCACCATGCGCCCCGACATCGACAACATGGACGAGTACGTGAGAAACACCACGGCCCGCGCCTTCGCCGTCGTGGCCTCGGCGCTCGGCATCCCCTCCCTCCTGCCTTTCCTCAAGGCTGTCTGCAAGAGCAAGAAGTCGTGGCAGGCGAGGCACACCGGCATCAAGATCGTGCAGCAGATCGCCATCCTCATGGGCTGTGCCATCCTGCCCCATCTGCGCAGCTTGGTGGAGATCATTGAGCACGGTGAGTGCCTGGCTCGGGGCTCTCGCTTCTCTGATTAACACGGAAGATAAACCAGTCGGGAGGGGAAGAGCAGAGGTTAAGAGTGGGCATAATCTAATGCAAGCATTGAGAGTGGCGGTCCAGTGGGCTTCTTGAACAGCGAAGAAAGCTCACCAGGATGAGCAGTTGAACACGATTCAGAGGGCACAAGTGGAAATTACTGGGATGCGTGCTTCAGAGAACAGGATGCCCTCCTCTACCAAAAGGTTTGAGAAAATTGTATAAGCTCCCAGGCATGTTGTCGAGGACGGCATACTCAGAATAAATTGTCTCCTAACTACCATGGGGGGGGGGGGTGGCCTCCTCTCGTTTGTAACCGTTCTTATCGTTGTCTCTAAAAAAACATGGCCCCGGTGTGCAGGTTTGAGACGTGCCTTTTAGATGGCGGTCAGCGGCCGTGTTGTGATGGTGTGGTCCGTGTGCTCTGTGTGCCGCAGGTCTGGTAGACGAGCAGCAGAAAGTGCGCACCATCAGCGCCCTGGCCATCGCGGCTCTGGCTGAGGCCGCCACCCCCTACGGCATCGAGTCCTTCGACTCCGTGCTCAAGCCCCTGTGGAAGGGCATCCGACAGCACAGAGGCAAGGTAAAGGCGATCTGTGGAGAAAAAGGGCTTTTCTCATTTCTGTGGAGGGGGGGCTCTTAATGTGCATGTCTATACTGAAACCTCTTTTCTATTGCCTTTAGTCTATTATCTATTGGTACTGTTTTGTATACATACTACTGTTGTGTGTGTGTGCGTGCTGTTAGTGTGAAGTGTTAAACAGTAATCACTTTGTGAAACTCAAGAGTCTTAAATGGTCTTTAAATATTACGTTTGCTAGCTTAACAGCATTCCAGTTCCATCCCCACCTGTTTGGATTGTTACCCTGAGTGTAATACAGAGAATGGCAGGGAGAACTAACAACGTTTGTTTTGGTGCAAACTTTAATATTCCGTGTTGTGCAAGGTTGCTCGGGTTAAAATGTTGCATCTCAAGTTCTTAAAGAGCAGAGCCGATGTCAGTAGTTGAGGCGGAGAAACCTCAGGCTTGACTTTCTGCCCCCAGGGTCTGGCTGCTTTCCTGAAGGCTATTGGATACCTCATCCCTCTGATGGATGCCGAGTACGCCAATTACTACACCCGTGAGGTCATGCTGATCCTCATTCGAGAGTTCCAGTCCCCCGACGAAGAGATGAAAAAGATTGTGCTCAAGGTAAGCAAGAGGCACCGGCACTGTGGTCTGAAGTGAAGTATCGCATCCGTGCGAAGCGGCGTCTAGCGGGACGTGAGAGCTGTCTGCTGTAAGGTTACCTCCTGTGTCTTATTCATCGAGCACATCCACAGGGCTGGCCTGCGTGACTCCTGCGTCTCCTAATCCCAGTGTTTTCCCAGCAGAATGTCGGAGAGGCCTACGGGCACTTCGGAGTTCTTAGGTCCCAGGTTGACCTTCTCCTGTATGTCCTTAGGTGGTGAAGCAGTGCTGTGGCACAGATGGTGTGGAGGCTAACTACATCAAGACGGAGATCCTGCCCCCTTTCTTCAAGCACTTCTGGCAGCATAGGATGGCCCTGGACAGGCGGAACTACAGACAGGTACCCACAACCCCGCGCTCTCTTCTCTAGTCCTGCGTGTGCCTGTGGGGGAGAGGTGTTGGCAGTGTTGTTAACGTCCGTGGGCCTTGTTCCCTCACCCAGCTGGTCGACACGACAGTGGAGCTGGCGAACAAGGTGGGGGCCGCAGAGATCATCTCGCGCATCGTGGACGACCTGAAGGATGAGGCAGAGCAGTACCGCAAGATGGTGATGGAGACCATCGAGAAGATCATGGGCAACCTGGGGGCCGCCGACATCGACCACAAGCTGGAGGAGCAGCTCATCGACGGCATCCTTTACGCCTTCCAGGAGCAGACCACTGAGGTGAGGGGGAGTTTCGAGGGGTTTGCCGGAGTAATGGAGGGTAGGAAGCCATTCGGCTCATCTAGGGTGGAGACTTGATGTCAGTCGCATTGATTGGATTTAAGGACTGGGTGGGGTTTTTATCGTCCCTCTATTACGACATCTGACCGTTCCCCCTTTCACGTTCTTTCCAGGACTCGGTGATGCTGAACGGGTTTGGCACAGTGGTGAACGCCCTGGGCAAGAGGGTGAAACCATACCTGCCTCAGATCTGCGGTACGGTCCTCTGGCGACTCAACAACAAATCCGCCAAAGTCCGCCAGCAGGCCGCTGATCTCATTTCCCGCACGGCTGTCGTCATGAAGACCTGCCAAGAGGTGAGAGGCCAGGAGGTCTAGTGGGACCCCCGGGGGGAGGGAGGGGGGGTGATATCTACAGTCTTCATGGGGCTCTTGTCAGCAAACAGCTTTAAAAAAAACAGGTTCTTCGCAGAGAAAAGAAAACTGTTTTAAAAATTAGCAGTGGTGCCTGGCAGGTTCGGCACAGCAGCGGTTTCACCTGCGCCGAAACCTCGCTTACGTCGGTTACATCTTTCCTCCTAACGGCCTGCTGACGCTTTTCCTCTTCCTCCTCTCTGCAGGAAAAGCTGATGGGTCATCTTGGTGTAGTGCTGTATGAATATCTGGGAGAGGAGTACCCAGAAGTCCTGGGAAGCATCTTGGGAGCACTCAAGGCCATTGTCAACGTCATTGGTATGACCTGCACGTCTCCTGTAGGCCCAGACAGCTTCAGCTGAACTTCCAGTCTGCTGATAAGCTTATCTTATCTTCTTTTTGTCACTTTCTTTAACTTTGTTGTAATGTTCAAACATAACATTATCCCCAATCTCCCTTGTCTGCTGGATCATTCTCTGTTCTGTTACCAAGGTGGATATGCTACACTTTTTTTCCCCCCATTTTAACCATCTTTTTCCAAATATGTTTCTACTTGAACTTCTACATTTTCAACCTGAGATGTTTTAATTCTTAGAGCCCCCCTCCACATTCAAACACACTGGTTTCAGTTTCTACTAATTCATTTCACAGCTGCAATTCTGACAGCTCTAAACTAGGATATTTCTTCTGATGGCAGTTTCTTTTATCACAGTGTTATGCAGAATGTGTGGGTATGATTCTAATCTCATTTGTGCCTTTTCAGTTTGCATGTTATAATGCAAAAATCATGATACACATCGCAGTACTGCAGGCAGTATGAGTATGACAGTGATTAATAGCTACAGTAGTTGTTAGGAGGAGGGGTGGATAAGCAGGGCCACCTCCTGTACCCATGTGTGTAGCAGCTGTCCAGGACTGTGTGCAGCTAAGTGCGCCTGCCCCTCAGCCCAGGTTCAATGCGCTTCTGGTCTCGACAGGAATGCACAAGATGACCCCTCCCATCAAAGACCTGCTGCCCCGCCTGACGCCCATCCTGAAGAACCGGCACGAGAAGGTGCAGGAAAACTGCATCGACCTGGTGGGCAGGATTGCGGACAGGTCAGTAGAGCACCGCCTGCTGGCACGGTCTGCGTGTGCCGATCAGGGAACTGGCTGCATGCAGTTCGGCTTCTGTATAGACGCGTGTGGGGGCGCGTTGCGCTTCCCGACGCATCAAATGTCCCGGTTGAGGAGCCGCCGGTGACGTGCCTGTCTGTTGTCCACAGGGGAGCGGAGTACGTGTCGGCCAGGGAGTGGATGAGGATCTGCTTTGAGCTGCTGGAGCTGCTGAAGGCTCACAAGAAGGCCATCCGCCGAGCCACTGTCAACACCTTCGGTTACATCGCCAAGGCTATCGGGTCAGTGTGCATGGCCTGTTCTTTGCTCCCTGGGGGCAGGGTCATTTCAAAATTCAGCCCTCTACCCTTCACATAGTGCCCTACTTTGTACTCGTGTGTTGGGTGTCCCGCTTAGTAGAGAACAGAACCACAGATGGCTTCTCAAAATCCCTGTGCCTCCATATGTGATTTTGTTTCCCCCTAGGGTAAAAGAATTTTGCCTTTTGCGAGTTGGCTGTTTTCTGGGAGGATCCCAGAGCTCTTTGCTTGAAGTTCAGCGGGGGGGGGTTTGTCAGATGAATGATTCTGGGGTGTAACGGGTCTCTCTCCGCCCTGCAGCCCCCACGACGTGCTGGCCACGCTGCTGAACAACCTGAAGGTCCAGGAGCGGCAGAACCGCGTGTGCACGACGGTGGCCATCGCCATCGTGGCCGAGACCTGCTCGCCCTTCACGGTGCTGCCGGCGCTGATGAACGAGTACCGCGTGCCCGAGCTCAACGTGCAGAACGGCGTGCTCAAGTCCCTCTCCTTCCTGTTCGAGTACATCGGCGAGATGGGCAAGGACTACATCTATGCCGTCACCCCGCTGTTGGAGGACGCACTGATGGACAGGTGAGCCTGAGCTGGGCTCCGGCAGACCCAGTGCCTCCTGCGTCCTGAGTGGTGAACACGCAGAGGCAGACGATGCTTCCTCTCTCTGAGTCACTGCACTAACAGATTTCCTCTTTCATGAATCAGAATTGAACTGGTTGGTGAGGCTTCCTTTTCAATGCCTTGCATATTAACATTGGCACAGTGGTGATTTTTTTTCTGTCTCGGTTTCACCCTCTTTCACCATGACTTTCACACCCCCTCCCCTCTGAGTTTGTTCCATCCCTCTGCTCCCAATCCAGCCATCAGTGTTGACCCTCATCTCTGTGTAAAAACTCTCGCCGCGAAAACTCTGGATCTTCAGTTTGGTCTCGGACTCCTCGCTGCTCTCACTAACCGCGAATCCCTTTAAGCGTCTCCCTCCCTGACGTTCGAAACCCCGGGCTCTCGCTCGTTCACCCCCTCACTCTCCTTTGCTCCGTTTTCCTCCCGCAGGGACCTGGTGCACAGGCAGACGGCGAGCGCCGTGGTGCAGCACATGTCCCTGGGCGTCTACGGCTTCGGCTGCGAGGACTCCCTCAACCACCTGCTCAACTACGTCTGGCCCAACGTGTTCGAGACCTCGCCGCACGTCATCCAGGCCGTGATGGGGGCACTGGAGGGGCTGCGCGTCGCCATCGGCCCCTGCCGCATGCTGCAGTACTGCCTGCAGGTAGGCCGTGCGCCGGGGGGGTGGTGGGGGAGGCGGGGCTGAGAGGGTGAGAGGAAAGGGGGCCGCGTAGAGGCGTTGTTGTACTGACCGTCTCCCTGTCTCCCCCCAAAGGGTCTGTTCCACCCGGCCAGGAAGGTGCGGGACGTCTACTGGAAGATCTACAATTCCATCTACATCGGCTCTCAGGATGCGCTGATCGCGCACTACCCCCGCATCTACAACGACGAGAAGAACACCTACATTCGCTTCGAGCTCGAGTACTTCCTGTAGCCCCCCCACCCCGCCCCCATCTATCCGTTCCCCCCCATGCAGAATTCCCAACTTTTATTCCCGATGTCTTTCCATGTGTCCGATTTGATTGGTCCTTCACTTGGCCAGGGTGGTGGCCACCCAGAGCCGTTTTTAAAAAAAGTGGAAAAAAGCAAAAAAATAATTTAAAGGGGTCTAGAACCTGTAGTTTTTTTTTTTTAACGGATCACTAGAGGGCTTAGGCACCACCGCTGTGAAAGGCGTCGGTGAGAAACTCTATGATCATGACTTATTTTTTCTGTGGATCAGCTGTTTGAGATATTCCATTTTTTTTTGTTCTTAATGGGATGTTCTTTATTTGGCAGAATAAACATTTGTGTATAAAAGATTTTGTCCAGTTTTTTTCCCCATTTGCTCGTAGTTTTAACAGTCTTTTCCAAGGTGAGGCCAGGGATCGAATAGCAGATTAGTTGTAATGGGGGAGGAATCCAGGGTCGTGTGAGTCTGCTGCCCAAACTCTCCCTTTTTTTACGCTGTGTGATGGAACCAGTGTCCCGAAAAGCTATCATCCTATCTTACAAATCGCATTCAAGTACTTTAGTTTGTGCTCCTGAATGTATATTGAAATGCATCGCCTTGTTTCCCCTGAATACTCCTGTCTGCTGCCTGCGTTGTTTTTTCTCAATCGGGCGAGGTCAGAACTCAGGAATGCCGGGAATCTTTTAACATTCCACCGGCACGTTCCATTAGAGCCTTTAGGGCAAGGTGCGGAATGTGCAGGATCTTATCGGACGGGGCCTTCCTACATATATTGTGAGTTTTGTGTGTTTCACAAGCTTGTGGTACTGTAAATCCGCCAGAGCACGTGAGGGAAGCGGGGTGTTCTCCGCTTCGTGTAAATGCTTGCAGTTGCAGTAAAGCATGGAAGATCGCACCCCGGGAGGGGACCCGCTGTTGACACTGGTGTGCGTGATGAGGGCCATCCTTCAGCCGTGTTTCCAGGAATGCTGGCTGCCGGTGCTTGGAATCTGTGTGTGAAGGGGCCGTGGTGAAAATGAGTCTAAACCGATGGCATGGGCAACCTGAGTGTTGATGGAACAAATTCTTTGGCTGCCTTCAAGGAACATCTGGGTGAGGTCCTCAGATCCATTAACCTGCCTGTCAAAAGGGCCAGGCGAGACATCACCCATGCAGCCTGCAGGCCTGGGGGTGATATCTGGTGTGCCGACCACTGCGCACCTTCAGGAAGCTGTCTGCAGCAGCAGGTGGGAATGAGTTGCCCATCGGGGCCGGTCAGGAAGGTTTCAGCATTCCTGAGAGCCTCTGGAAGCACCGGTGGGGCTTGGAACGAAGTTGCTGGGGCCTGCGTGGTCTGTGAGGCGCGGTGGCAGACGGAGATCTGGAGCCAGGAGCCAAGAGGTCTTCAGGCCAGCGAAGCCAACAGCCATGGAGGAAGTGGAGGTTGCCGGGGTGGGAGAGTGGCTGTGGTCTCGTGGGCCAGACCTCCTGAATGAGGGACGGGAGCGAGACTGAAGACACGGGGCTCCGAGGAGGCTTCGGATACGTGGAACGGCTCTGCCCAAGGCAGTGGTCTCCAGCTCAGGGAGCGACCCAGCAGCCACACCGGGGAGAGAGGTGTCCTCTGGGCTACTTTCCTGCTCCCAGGGGAAGAGGCAGGCGAGCTGCCCCGGATGTCTTCCTCGAGTCACCTCTGGAGGAGGGCGAGGAAGACCTGTAGCACAGCTCCGCCTAATTCACTGCCTTGATCGCATCAAGTTTTTCTTTATAGCACATGTGGAAAGCGATCATGTGGCATGATCAGTGTTGGAGCTGTCACCCAAACAAGTTAAGGATAGGGTATGTTGAGGACTGCGGATCATGCTGTAGAGAGTGAAACATCAAGCTGATAGCTGGAGTATTTTGATCTTACAAAGTGCAGGAAAGCAGGAGGGAGCGTTTGTGGTTTGGGAGGTTTTGAGAGCCTGCAAATGCTGAGCCTCTCTTTTTTTTTTCAGCCAGAGAAATCAGTACTCTTGTCTTCATTTCACCCTCGGGCACCAGGTACTTCCTAGAGCAGGGTTCCGAATGGCAGCCGGCCTGCGTGGTGCTAACGAAACTCCTAGAATGCCTCGGTCTGGATCGGGCCCGTTTTTCCCTCAGAGCTGCGCTGTCTCACGGATATTTGGGGCAGGGAGGCTGTTCAACAGCAATTATATAAGCGAACTCCGTGCCAAACTCTCTTGTCAAGCGGACCAGTTCTGCGGTCAGGGTTACTGAGATCAGAACCTCAGTGATAACAGTGAGTGTCTGACAGCCAATACTGGACACCTTCACTTTGTCAGGAGGGTGTCTGAGGCCTTATGAAGAGGTGGTCTCCTTACGGCTTTAGTGCATTTGCATCAAACCCACTATACTTATTGACCCCCCTGCCCCTTGTATTTTATTTCTGAGCAGTAGCTTTTGACAAACATCACAGTCAATGACAGGTTCCATTTATATTGGTACAATATCATTAACCACTCATGCAAAGCACCGAACTCCCACAGACACTTTAGACGGCATATAAATAAATGTGCTTGATTTAAAAAAAAATTCTTCTAGCTTTTACCATCTCCCCAGCCGAAATAAGCACTGCTTCTAGGTAGTTCATTGTCAATGAATTTCATGACGAGTTCGGTGAGTTCTAGGTAATTCTCCTCTGCCCTGAATCTTGAACCTGTGGTTGCCACAGGAAGTGAGGGCTGGTGGGGTGTGAGTGTGACATGGGGATGCATGCTGAGGATTGGCTGCTGGGTGACCATGTGACCTTCTGAAGGAGCACTGGAGACTGGGTGGTGGGTGTGGCCCATGGGTGTGGGGGGTGGGGGTGGAGCTCACACAGGAAGCAGCCCTGAAACGCCGGTGGCCCCAGACACACACACAGCACTGTCTCCATACCAGCTCGACACGCAGCTTCTGACTTTCTGTTTCCTCGTGGCATGACACCCGGGGTTGGGGAATAGTGTTTATTTGACATAATCACTCTGGCCTCCCTGCCCCCCTTTTTCCCCAGCTCAGAAAAGTACGGTAAATGTAGCGCAGAACGGACTCCTTGATCTGGGTGCGTTGATGGCACAGAGCTATGAGACAGGCAAGCAGTGCTGCCTCACACACGCACACACACACAGGGCAGGTCTGACTGTCCACTTTCCCAGCAGCCTCAGCCAAGGGTTCACCTGCAGCA